GGGAGGATGGGATCTGAAAGACGGGGCAGAGCTGAGTCAACCTCAGCCTCCTGCAGCCCCGAGGGAGCCAGCTGATTTTGACTAACTGGTGCAGGGTCATCTGGGGTGCTTGGGAGCAGAGTCAGTAACGCTGCAGCTGGAGGGTGTGGTGGCATGGGTATGGCTCACCCTTTGCAGCTCTGAGCATGCACTGTGACACTCCCGACAGATAAACTGCTTCTGTAGTTGCGCAGAACTTTCAGGGAGATGAACCGTCTTTCAGCTGTTCGGCTTATCACAACATGTTATTCCATGTGCAGCTGCCTGGCGTTGCAACACCAGCCCATTCCCTGAAAAGCTGGTCTGGCCCACAAGACACCTGCACCCTTGGGCTCTCTGCAGGCAGTACCTGCATGGATTGATCCGTATCAGCCAGTGAGGAAACTCAGTTTAAAGCATGCATTTTAACCTTGTGTGGTGTAATATTCCCCCCCTCCCCCAGCATCCTGTCCTATTAGCTATACTTGGATTCTGCATTTTTTGCTGGTCTAGAAACTGTAGTAGCTCCAGAGCAACAGACCTTTTCAGGTTCCTAGTTCTTACTCTTTTATTAAGTTGCAAATAATTGGTATCACACACTTAGCATTTGAATTGAAATTTGCTTGGTGGGAAACATACAGTTTAGTGCATCTTTTTCATGTAGCAGCACATGGTTAAATTACAGTCCCAGGACAGTCCCAGGACCTGGAGGCCTCCAACCTAGCCTCTGCTCCAAGGAGGTCTGTCCCAGCACAAGGGCCTTGTCCAGCCCTCGATGCTGTGGGCCAGAGCCACCCACTTCTCTGGGACCCTGTCCCAGGGTTGCAGCACTCGTGTGTGGAAGGATTGTTCTTTAATGTTGAAGCTAAATCTCCCAAACCGTATGTAAAAAGAGAAAAAGCAATTGAACTAGGTTTACATGTGAAAAAAAATATTTGTTCTTAAATGATTAACCAAAGGGAACAAACTGAAGAGAACGAACTCAGAGATTTGGTGTCCAGGAACAAGCCTTAGGACAAGCGGAAGTCAGTCTTTCACAAGACTTGGAAGAAGTAGCCCTGGCTGTGAGCGCTGCACTAGCTGAGCAGACAGGGATGGAGAAAGCACCATCTGTCCTGCGTGAGAAGCTGTTCTTGACAGATACTGGCTGAACACTTCTCACAGGTGCTTCGCCTCTGGCTTCTGCCACAACAGCCTTTAGCTTTCTGGGAGCAAGCCACTATTATTTAAATCATCCTTTATTCAGCTCTTGAGAACCAAAGTGTGGTTAACTTTCTGGCATTAATCCCCCAGCAGCAGGGAGAGGCCAGACTGCAGGAGCCCTGGCATCACACAAACTCACAGCCCCTCACACTGAGCTGTGGCTGAAGTGGGTTGATCTTTAACCCAGGTCAGTTTGACCAGCCAGGAGGGTAAGCGAAGCAGTGCTCAGTCAGCACAGGCTGTCAGAAAGGGGGTTGTGGGGCATATTAAGCCCCCTGTCGCCTTCAGATTAAGTCAGTTTGAGCCCTGAGTCACGGTGAGATCAGATTTTGCACAAAGCAAATCCCTTGGGTGCAAGCTGGGCAGAGCCCTGTTGTTGTCTGTGGCAGGCAGAGGGTTTGGTGTTGCACGACGGCTGCGTGCAGCAAGAGCAGAGACTGAAGATGTGATCGTGCTGCAGAAGGCCAAGCACTGCACGAGTGCCATGCTTCCCCTACCTGGGTATTGTAGCCATGGGAAGTACCGCCTTCTCTTAGCAGGTTTTGGTAGCCAAGGGCTTTCTTCTTAACTAATGGCTTTGCTTTGATTCTTGCCTTGTTTTCCATGAAGGGCGGGGTGGGGGGGGAATAAAAAAGCCCCAGACCCAAACCTTGCTCACTGACTGTTACTGTCTCCTAGCATTGCTGCTGGATCTCGTGCTGGTGGCAGTGGTGAAAGGGCTCGTGAAGCGGCGGCGGCCGACACACAACAAGATGGACATGTTCGTCACCATCTCGGTGGACAAGTACTCCTTCCCGTCCGGCCATGCCACCAGAGCCGCCCTGGTCTGCCGCTTCATTCTGCGCCACCTTGTGCTTGCCGTCCCGCTGCGGGTCCTCGTGGTGCTCTGGGCTCTCATCGTCAGCATCTCCAGGGTCATGCTGGGCAGGCACAACATGACGGACGTGCTCTTTGGTTTGCTGCTGGGCTACGCGCTGTACAGCGTGGTGGAGTACTGCTGGCTGTCCCCACTCAGCGCCCCGGCCCTCTTCGCGCTCTGGAGCCATTGACGGCTGGATCCCTTCCAAAGGAAAAGACGTGCACCTGGTTTTCTAAGCACGCACAGGGAAGGGGTCCTAGGACTTGAACTCATATCTTAGACTCCATCTATCCAGCCAAGACTTCAACACTAGCGGTGCTGCAGGTTCCTGGGCCTGCACTTAGACGTTTGGTGCTGTCTTGCCCTCCTGATGAGCTGTCAGGCAGGGTGTGCACTGGCCAAGCAGCTGCACTGACTGTTCTCCCATGGAAAAACCAGTCCCTGCAGAGCCCTGGAGAGGGCTTGGCACATTCATCTGGCAGCTCACTGCTGATACTGTGAATCTACATGCTCTTGCTGGGCACCTGCTCGTTAGCCCATGGTGTATGTGGTAGCTGTGGCTTTGCAGAGATGTCTCTGCCATCACCTGTGTATCTGTAGGCTGTAAATACACTGTGTTGCTGTCACGAGCATGCCCTGCACAGTCTGCTCCATAATGTCTGCCTGGAGGGAACTCACTGGGGTCCGTCCTCAGGTTTATAGAGCTTCACCTTCCTAAGCACTGCATCTCTTCCCTGTTGCTTAAGTTCTGGCCTCAGTGCAGTACTTAAATTGAGAGCAATGAGAACACAGATACCTGGCTCCCAGTGCCATGGGGAAAGGATAGTGCAACCAAGAGTTCATCCATGCCTTCTCCAAGACAGCAAGTAACAGGGGAAGCAGCTCCCAGCAGCAGCCTGCTCCTGCAGCCCTTGTGCAGAGCTTCACAGCTCCTTTTCCCGTCCACAGGATTTTCAGTCTCCCAGGGGGTACAGTGCATTCACAGCAATTCCCATTTGTCAGCATGTTACCAGTGCTGCTGACAGTGCACCGCAGAGCAAGCCCCTTCCCCATAGCCCAGCAGCCAGCAATAGACCCTCACCCAGGCTGCTGAGCAGCCTCAGGAGCCGAGCCTCACCTCCACCTCCTGCAGCAAGAAGTCCTGGCTCTGCCAACCGCCACCACCAGCTCCCTGGGCTCCAGGCAGGCTGGCTTTCCTACCCTGGCACCATCAGTCCTGACAGCCTGCTTTTCAGAGAGGACTGCTTGTCCTTGGCAGGAGAGGACCGTGAAGAGTCTCTGTAATGAGTTGGGGCTGAGATTGAGCCAGAGAAGCACAGAATCCACATCAACAGGGACTATAGTCAGGCAGGGGGTAAGGGCTCTGGACTGAGCTTAAATAGTGCTCCCAGCATGTGGGTGGGGGTGATTGGGACGAGGTGAGGCTGTAATGGTGCCCTGAGGCCCCGGAAAAGATGGATTAAGTTGTATTAAAACTAGGCAGTGTTTCAGTGTGCTGTTCTTCCGGGTGAAGTGTGCAGGAGCAGCCTGAGGGCCGCTGGTGCAAGCACCCCATCTCTGTATGTCACCCACCATCAGTTATACAGGGGCTGAAATGAAACTTCTTGACATGACAGGGTTCCCCCAGAGCTGAGCACTGACTCACTGGCACAGTCAGCCAGTGAAGGTACCAGCTGTAGGTTTGCACTCCAGTGACCAAAAAAACCTCATCCCCTGGGTTGCGCTGCATGCCTGGCAGCTGGCTGGGCCAGTCTGGCCTGTGCACTGCAGCACTCAGCCACCCACACCAGCCGTCCCACCCCAAGGCAGAGACAAGCTTTGCAAGATCACGGGCACGCAGCATGCTCCATTGTCGTCAGGGTTTGGGGTGTTCAGGGCTGTGCCAAAACATCTTAGCCCTACTTCCCAAACATGGGGATGCTTTTCGTCCAAATGGTTCTTTGCAGCCATTGGGGTCTTGTCTCCAGGCCACAGAGGAGCACAGCAGCAACTCTGTGCCTCTGTGGCTTGTTCCTGCGTGCACATCTGTGGAAAAAGTCACTTCCAGCTCACTTGCAGGACCCTCCACGAGCTGCTTGGTGTCACCTGCCATCACCAGTGTACAGCCCTACTGGGTCACAGACTATCTCACCGCCCTAGTACCTCTGCTCTGCTTCTCCCCACCTCCACCAGCGAGACCTTTGGACTCCTCTTGTGCTTGTCACTTTTCACTGCTCCTCCAAGCATAGGTGTCAGCCCGCTGATAGGAAGGAGGAGACTGGTGCTTTCTGCTCAGCTTGTCCCGTGGCACCTCTGCTCGCTGCAGAAGCCCTGAGCAGACGTGTCTGCATGCGCTGCCCACCACACTGTACATCCTGGGTGCTTGCCAGACATGAGGGACCGTGGCTTTCCTGCAAACATCAGCAACCTGGTCTTGACCAAAATGCCGTGGCTCGACCCTGGTGCACTCTCGTGGTCCCCTGTGCATGATGACGTGGTTCGGCCAGGCCACGAGCCCAAACATAACGGGGACAAAGTCCAGGGCCACACAGCCTCTTGTAGCTGCCAAGGGAGAAGGGCAAATTCGAAGGCAACCTGCACGGAGGTTTCATAGCACGGCCGTGGGGTTGAGAGCTGGAAATCCCCTGTACCTGTCGCCCTTGGGCAGTCCTTACAGAGCTTTCAAAAGAGCCAGAAGGCAACCAAAAGTGGAGCGGGGAGGGTAGGACTGCCAGTGCTGCCTCCTCGCCATCCCCGTGCTGATCCCCTTGCCTGGTAAGAGACATTTTTGATGCTTTTTGACAGGCAGGCACAGAGTGTGGGTTGACAGCTCGGTGCCTCTGCCCCGGGCAGAGATCAGCCCTTGCCAGCCGCGAGGGACAGAAAGAGCTTTATTATACATACTGCAAACATCCTATGAGTTTTAGAAGGTTAAAACCATTTCAGCTGCAGAGCTCAGACCCTCCGCAGCCCTGTGCCTTGCAAAGCTCTGGGGCAAAGCTCCCCAGAAACAGGAGAGCAAATTTCCCCTGCAGCCCTCAGGGGCTGTCCGGCTGTGAGTGTGCCAGGAGCCAGTGGTGTGCTCCCGAGCCACCTGGTCTGTGCCTCCTGCTGCTGGGGAGAGCCTTTTCCTAACTGATCCCACCACCCTGGCACCAGCAACACACCGGGAGCCAGCGCGGTGCTCCTCGCACCAGCGTCCCCCTGGCCCCGGGGACTCCAATGGCCCAGGAGCAAGCTGCGGCTCTGGGGACGCTGTGCCAACATGCCCAGCCCAGGGGCACAGGGAATGTCGGGGATGCGGTGCCAGGTGCTACCGGAGCAGCCGGAGCTGTATGTGCCCCCAGGTATGCGCATAAGCAGGACTGGGCTAATCCTGATAATCCCAGAGGCAAAAGTTCAGGGCGCTGTTTGTTTACTCGGCATGCTGCCACGGG